ATTACTAATACCAAAAGCTAATGCATGCTTTATTTTCTCTAATGCATCCTACCAAACGACCCCCAAGTATCTTAAACCTACCTAAAACTGTTTCATGGTTTTACCCTATGGCTCACATAATTTGCAGGATCTTAGCAAGGGGAGGGGATCTAATATAGATTTTTGTGTGCCAAAGTGTTTAGGAATCAAGAATTGGTTGTGTTCAACAGTTTCCTCTCTTCGCATCTGTTTAATTAATCAGAGTATTTACAAATAAACTCGTAAACGAACTTAGGCCAAGATGATGTGACATTGCCATACACCTGTAACCCTTCCACTTCCACTCTCCTGACATATGTGGAATATTCTGCAGTCTTGAGCGTTGTGATTTCTATTTCTTTGCTCATAATGTTTGGATGACACAACAGGCATTCTTGGTGACTGTACGAAATAAAAAGCGTGTTGGCTACACATATGAGCTGACTGTCAAAGTCAAGGGTATTTTTCTCTCTTTGAAATCAGTTTCTTGAAGTCTATCCGTTTTTTCCGCTCCGGTGTTCTTCTGTTTTCATTTAATGAGCAAATGATGTTATACTGTAATTAGGGGAATGGCTTGTCGGAGCTGAGAAGAAGGCGGTCAAAGGCCATATAGATATACTGGAGTTCTCATTTGGTGAGCTAGATGATCTGCAGGTACTTGCTAGATATGTGTTCATACTTTCATAAAAGAATTTAAGAGCAAGTTGGAAACTAATGTACAGGGTGGTATGAGAATGGTTTTGTTGATAAACGAAAAGCTATCACTGCTCTTCATTGTTCAGACCAAATTTATCTGGCGTATTCAGTTGTAGTCAGGAATTGTATGAACTTTAGTCTTCTCTAAACAGAAAAGCGAAGAGCTATATGCTTCTTAATGCAGTAAAGGTAAAAGATAAGTATTGTACCTGTTTCCTGCATTTAAAGACACACAATATTAACTTATTGTGCTTTCTTGCAACTCTGGAAATTCAACAACCCCTTTCCGGAATGTGTGGCCTCTTTGCAGTTTCCAAACAACACTCCAGGGCCAAAGAAAGAGAAAGAAAGATGTTGTAATGTATTTTACAGGAAGCAAGTTGTGACCAACCTTTATTCTTTATTTGTAGATTGAAGTGAAGCTTAGTGAAGACAAGGATCTTGAACAACAAGACAAGCAGCGGATAAAACAGGATATGAAACAATTTCTGCAACCTCTTCGGGAAAAATTGCTTCAATTTGAGCAGGAACTGAAAGAGTTGTAGTGTGCTGTCGCGTCTGGTACTATTTTAAAATCTTTTAAAGTGCTTGTGGTCTGTAGTCGTGGACTAGTGTCCCCTTTGACTGGAAATTATCACTTCAGCTTGTATTAGTAGAATGCAGTACACTCCAGGAAAGCTAATTAAGAATCTTGGGTCTTCGGTCTATTTGATGCTGATGGTCTTGGTGACTATTTCATTTTAATTTGATATTTTTAGTGCATGACTGTGAAGATGTCTAGAGTGTCTTAACTCAAAAGCTTAAGACAATGGGTCAAGACATTTTAAACTCTTTTGGACGGTATGTGTGAACACTATAATAAAAAAGAAAATGGTTGTGCAAATAAGCTTAGCAAAGTTTGGCAATAATCTTATCTTATGCGAAAGAATTTTGAGTATTCAACCTAAAACCTTAAAGCCAATTGATGGATTGACTCAGAATATTATACACCTCTTTGCAAACCTTATACAACCAATGAGAGGCAATTGTGTGCACTAAGATATACTAACCAAATTGCCTAAAAAAAACAGATCTTTTCCGGTTTGTAGCATAAATCCCATCTCACATGAAAATTAGTTGGGTCAGCTTGTTCTCTTAGTATCACACTGGCAAGAATCGTTGTTTCCTCTGGCCTATCCCCAAATGAAGATAATATATAAAACGGTGAAAGACCAAATATACCCATGAACTATGAAAAAAGGTTTATTATACTATGTATATTACAAATTATGGGATTTTGGACTAAACAAGTGGGTATGTATATACTCATTTAGCTAGTTACTCTAATCTAAAGGTGCAACATCGGTCAATCTCGTCATAGTCTCAAAAATTATTGTGCCTGTTATGATGGTGGTGGAGGGAAAGAAAATTTTAGCTGTGTAAAAACAAATAGAGGGGAGGGGTAAAATGGGTTAGGAATGCTGAGGTAGCATGCCACGTGACATCCACTTCATCAAATGGTAGTACCTCATAGGATTTAATGTCCACCTTGGACAAACTTAACGGGAGAAGGGTATATTTGAACCAATAGTATTACGGTATATTTGGACCCAAAATATAACTAAAAGTATATTTAAATATTTTCTCATAGTACAGGGGTATATTTGACCCGTATATAAAACTAGTATTTTCTAGTATGAACTGGCCTGCAAGTTGTAGCCGCAATTCATATCTGTTCCGCCATTAAAAATAGACACACAGTAATAGTTGGGTGGAGTGACAAAGATTAGAGCGACTTCGAATCTAATCTATCCTTACAACTATTCCTCAAAAAGAATTTTATGCTTTTCCAAAAGTACCAGCCTATTATTCTATTGTAGAAGTTGTGATCTTTCATGTTGGGCTAATCATCAATGTTTATACGATTTTATGTCATTGAGTTTGGCTTATAGTGTAAGTTTCTTTTTACATCTTTATTCGGTTGATTGTTACGTATTGTCTCTATTGTTTAGTGGCCAAAGCAAGAATAGTTTGACGAACAAATTAAATGGACTCTTTCGAATCTGTCCAATCTGTGCTCATAATGTAGATTTCAGCAGAGATAGATTTTGTCCTTGCCTGAAAATGGTTTGAATAATTTTCTTTTTCCTAGATTCTTTTGGAGGCGAATTAATTAGTCTAAGTTTGAATAAACGAGAAGCATTGTGGAAGGTTGATGATCACCATAACCATTTGAATAAAGATTTTGTTGAATGAGATAGAACTGACTAGAATATATGAATGCTGATGGTTCATATAGTATAGGATTAAACATAGTTAATTGAGAGGTAAGTGGAGGTAAGTGCACAGGCAATTCCACATATAGCCATTCTCAGTGACGCTAGTTAGAGATTAGTTAATATTTAATTTTTTTCTGAAATTTTAAATAAATAATCTTAACTTCCGGACAGTTCAGGACATTTTTGACCCAAAAATTTAAACTGAAAAACCGAGCTAATTCTTAAATAGCAGCCTTTTAGAGTGACTACCTAGTATCATTTATATGTAATTGCACAGGTAGTCAATTTTCGGCTCCCGATTTAAGGCAATAGCCGGAGTTTACAAGTTTTTGTAAGTTTTGGCTACTTCAGAATCAATTTCAAACATATTGTTTATGCAAGTAAACTTCAAACTTGTCTTTTCTGAATTTCATATACGCGAGGCCAAACTTCAAACAGTTATGTTTAATTTCTGATCTAAATTTAAAATATCAAGATTCATTCAGGAGACAAAGTTAACAAGGACGTAAGCGTGAAAAGAGTGGATATATACAAAGTTGCAGAATTTTTTCTTTTGTACGAGACTAAAACAAGAAGCACCAGAGAGATCACAACTTTGTTACCTATATGATCCAGTAAATTGCAGACTCGTCTAAACCTTCTATAAACATTTTTGTTTGTTGGTTTCTACAAACAGCAAAAGATAGGCACTAATCGGTAAACGACATTCATGCGTCGATCATTTCTTACAACTTTGGTTTTACAGCAACTAAGAAAAAAGAAGTTTACCAATATCGGCTACAAGTTAAATATTTTGAAAAAACTGGATATATCTTAAATAACAGGGTGAAAACTGGTCACCCTCTTAAAATCTTTAATTAATTGATATTTTTTTCCAGGAAGCAACAAAATTGGGTACGCATTTGCTAATGATCCCTAGCTATTAATACTGACGGATCCAGAATTTAAGCTTCATGGTTTCAAACACATTATATTTTTAAAGTTATGAATTTATATCTACTATTTCTTGCAATTTTAGTGAAATTTATATGCCGCTTAAAAAGCATCGGGTTCAAATGATCCCGGTGCCTTCAAGCTCCATCCACCCCTTATTGCACTATCTCTTTTGAATGCTAGCACAACTTAAAGAGGAATGGAATCTAAAATATTCTTTGTTTATTACTGCAGAAAAGCCAATAGAACACAGAGTATCTTTTTTTTACTGTACGCGTGAATCTGGTGAAAGTTAGTTTAGTTTTTTATTACATTATTTAGTTTACTGTTACGTAGCAGTACTTTTCTCTTCTAATCTCCAGAGCAAGAAGCCCCGTGAAAAAAAAAAAGGAATAGTGTCCATTTTAGGTTTGAATGTTAATGGAAATATCACAAGATAACTAGTATTTTACTTGGTGCAATGCTCATTTGATAAAATTCCAATCGATTTTACTCTAATAGTCAAAAGCAAAGAAAGAAAAAGAAGTACGTTTATAATTAATCTACCGACAAAATTCAGAAGCGAAATCTGTCGTGACCAGAGTCATAGATACAGTAATTAATAAAGTTGGTTTCTGCATTGATTTATTGTAAAGCGAGATAAGCATTGATTTTGTAATGATGTATTCCTTTGCTTTCCATGTAGATTTCAACAACGGAAAAGGGATATATATATATATATATATATATATATATATATGTCCCTTTACTATCGGATATTAGTTATTTATATCCTTCGTTATACTATTAGTTATTTATATCCTTCGTTATACTATTCGACATTTCTTACCCTTGCCGTTAGCCTTTTTAACAAATTTACCCCTCCCATTAACGGACCCAAACTGAACACGTGGCACATTTTTAGAACCCCAAACCCTTTTTCTTCCTAATCCAAGATCCATACCCGAAAACCATACTAAACCCATATCAATAATAAGAAGCCATCTTCTTTTCTTCTCAAATGATGAAAAAGAAAGCAACTCCAAATGACAGGTAAAAATAAAAATTCCAGCGACAAATCAGTAGGAAGAAAGCTTAATTTATTAAGTGCCTTAATGCATTATCTTTCATCATTGCAAGAAATCATTAAAATCAAACCCCGAAAGTGAAAAATGAAACGCTGCTACTACCTTAATTGATTGAAAACAAAAACTCATGAAGGGGCGAAATACATCACGATTAAAAAAGAATTAAAAGGGTAACATATTCTTCGTTCTATGCTCCTTCCTTAAGCAAACTGAGGGCTTCAGATTCAGCAGACAGAGCTGGGATTGCTCCTTTCTTGGTTGTTGTGATGGCTCTACATGCACACGCAAACCTTAGTACTTCCCTCAATCTTGCTTCATCCTACATTTTTAGTTTTTCCACAAATTAATTAATCCCCAATATTTGTTTAGTTTAAACGAGCTTAATTTGGGTAAGAAATAATAAAGGTATTACTGATTAATTATTACCTCAAGAATGGATTGGTCATCGACAATCTTAGTTAGAAGGGCACCAACAAAAGAATCACCAGCTCTAGTGGTGTCAACAGTCTTCACGTGGAATGCCTCAACTCCTCCATGGAAATTCTACATCCCAAAGATAAGTTAGATCAAATTATTAGTAACGCATTACAAACTTATCTCTACAAATTTATTTTATTTTAGAGAAATTCTTCCTAAGGAACAAATATATATGTAGATGTACTGTGAAAGGTACAAATAACTAAGTAATTACCCTGAGTATAGCCAACTAAAACGATGGAGTCTAAACCCTAATTTTTGGGAAGAAAATAAGATGTCTTCTTATTATTGATATATGGATTTAGTAAGGGTTGGGAAAAGAAAAGGGTCTAGGGTTCCAAAAAAAGAAAAGGGTCTAGGGTTCCAAAAATATGCCACGTTGTCCGCACAGACTAGGTCCGTTAATGGGAGAGATAGATTTGTTTAAAAGACTAACAACAGGCGTAAGAAACGTCGAATAGTATAACGGAGGATATAAATAACTAATATCCGATAGTAGAGGGACATATATAGCCCTTTTTCCGTTTCAACAAAGATCGCCTTTGTCTTACGGAATATAATCCATCAAATAATTTCTTAAAGTAGAATATTTTCCACGAAATTTTAAAACACGTTGTATGATGCAAACTCGACAATTTGAGTATGTAAAAATATAATCTATTCCAAGTCTGGGTAAAAAAATATAGAAGATTGATCCAATTAAAAACATCAAAAAGATTTTCCTTTTTATTTTTAGTTAGTCGTAGTAGGTAATAATTCCCCTTGGGTTTTCTTTGGGCACCGGTTCTTTTTCAAGGGATGTTATTTTGAACTAGGTATTTTTATCTTTGTAGGAGTAGGATAAGAAGGAAACTAAGTTGCCCCTAGATACCATTTTGACGTTTTCGATGCTGTCATATTTACGTTACAGTAATAATTCCCCTTGTTGCTTAATATTTTTCAACTATGTGTCTACTTGCTTTGACTTGAGAGTTGGAACGGAACCGTCACGATTGAGTCATGTGCATTGTGATGTGAGGCTTAGTTGATATTCTGTGCTATCTTGTATTAGTCTAAAACGTGTGCCGTGTGTTAGTCGAAGTGAAATCATTAAGTTGTGCTAATCTAGTATATGATGTAGGCATTTCGTTGATTGATCATGGATTCACTTGCCGACCACATATAAAATTATTTGTAGTTAGCCCATTTGAGCCTATAGATATTTTTCTTTGTACCCACATTACAAGCCGTATTCCCATTCTTGTTCTTAACCGAATTTTATTGAACCTTTACCTCCAAAATCACTTAATCGCTAGAAGAAGTAAGGCGAGATCTTGAGAGTAGCTTTTTGGTGGAACCATGGAAGGGCCAAAAGGTTCACTAATGTTATGAAAGACATTTAGCCGAGAAACTCAATGTAAGGAGAGTGTTTGAAAGAAAAAAAAAAGGAAAAAAAAATAAAATAAAATAAAGAAATGGGAAAAATATTGATATGCAAAAAAGAGAAAACACATATCCTATTCTTCTTAATTCGTGCTAGGGGTGACATAGATGAGCTTAAACGAGAAGGGCTAAATTGTGTATGGTTCCGTGGCAACGTATTGAGTTGTTTATGAATAATATGTGCTTGAAAGTTGAGTGTAGTGTATTAAAGTGCATAGGAGGGTTAGTCACTAATATCCAAATCTATCCTACATGTCCCTTTGCCTACATTACAATATGAAAAGACTTAATTGATCCTACACTTGGCAAGTTTAAATTAGTATAGACATACACTACGGAAAAGCCTATAGTACAGCCATAGGATACACATAAATTCCCTATTGAGAGTGAGTGATATTTTATTCATATATGCGATGTCCTTAATTTATGTTCAATGTCATATTTGAATATGTGGACTGTCTTTATATTCACTCTCTTGTTCTATAGTGAGCGCACATGGTCTTATAACGGATAAGTGATATTATTAAACTTTTCTTCTTGGGTGAGTGCGCGAGTTGAAGATGCTTAGTGGTAACGAGTCGTTGAGGTGAGGTGGTTATGGGTAGATTGTTTGAAGTCTTTGATGGGGCTACTTATACTTTGGCATGTTGAGGTACAAAAGTATGTGAATTTCGTATGCCTATGCTTAATTATCGGTATCAACTATAGTCAAGGGTAGAGTGTATGTTTAATGGCAATTTGCTCCGTCATGATATGATATGTTGAATTTGTTGGGGTAGTAAGGTTTTATATTTCTCGAGGGAGAGCAAGAGTCTAAGTGTGGGGTGCTGATATTCGGCTAAAAGTATTTGTATTTATATGCATGCCGCCTCACATTTTACTCGAATCTTATGTATTTTCACGTGTTTTGTGATAATTTGAGCTAAATTTTGGCATTGCTATGTGTAGGAGCTATCTGGAAGCAATTTGGAGGAAAAGGGAAAGAAATGGAGCAAAAAGAGAAGAAAAGAGCACAATGGGGAAGGGAAGCGCCCCGCGCTACCTGGGGCGCTGGAGGCAAACCCAAAATTTTCTCACCTCCCAACTCAAGGCAAGGTCAGCGACGCATTGTTCTGGATGCTGGGGCTGAGATTTCTTCTATTTCGCTTGAGACTTGGTTTTTACCGCCCTACACGACCCCAACTCGTATAGAAACTATTTTAAACCTAATTTGAAGGGGGAGGGACGCTACTTTGAGAGCAGATTACACGTGAGGATCACTCAAGAGCAAGGATTATCAGTTTTCTTTCATTTTTATTAGTATTTTCAATCATTCAAACACTTGGGAATTTGAGTAGTATTGTCATGTGTGGCTAAGACCCAAAAGTGTTGGAGTTATAATTAGCCATGGATATTATTGTTTGACGTTAACTTCTCCTTAATTATAATTTATTATTATATGGTTATTTTTTCTATTCTGTGTGTAATTGCTTGCTTATCTGGCGAACGGTCAAGTTCTATTCACTATCTAGATTATGCTTGATAAAGCTACGTTTAGATTAAAGAAGAATTGAAGAGGGAATGATCGTATCTCTAAAGTTGGGGGTGAATTTATGGTTAGTATATGATTATACCTAATTACCATACTTAATTATATACTGTGGTCTTAATGCGTTCTTGCTAGATTAATTTCATTAAAATATAAGCGTTAATCCATCATGAACATGAGTGTAGTAATTCGGAAGAGTAATACGAGCATATATAATTCGGTGAATTAAAAACTATAAGTGAATTGCATAAAAGGAGAATTAACTAGAATACAATAGGATTAGTGAACCGATCACAACTGGAATAAATTTCCCTATTGAATTCACAACAACAATCAATTTTCTGCTGTGCTACGTTAATTCTCTGTTCTAATAGTTTATTTTAGTTAATAATAATAAAAACTCAATCAATTTCTTAACTTGACTTGATAACAATTTTAGTTGAAATTAGTAGGTAGTTAACGACAAGTCTCTGTGGGTTCGACACTCTATTCATCACTATATTACTTGTTTACAATGTATACTTGCGTGTGTATTTAGGAGCAATAAGTTTTAAGCACCGTTGCCAGGGAATTGAATATTGATTGTTTTACTAGCTTTAGCTTTTGTTGTTTATTTCATTGAGTCTAGATTTTCTTGTTGGTTGCTCTAATCTTAGGAACTTTGCTTGAATGCGACGGTTCAGGAGCCAAGATAGAATTCAAGACTTTGATCCAGAACTTGAGAGAACATTTCACAGAAGGTTGAGAGAAGCAAGCGATGCAAATAATCTTCAGGCACTTGTTCAACTACCTGCTGAGATGGCAGATGCGCAACCATTAGCGGTGCAGGAGGTGGTGATGCCCACCATCGCTAATGTCACCTCTAGCATGGTGAAGCCTAGAATCACCGGGCACTTTAAGCTTAAATAGAGCATGATCCAGCTGCTACATGCAAACAAAACACTTATAGGTCTACCACATGAGGATCCGCAATGACATAATTTGAATTTCTTGAATATCAGTGATACTTATATCATAACCGCAATCACATTGGACTGTGTGAGACTTACACTATTTCCTTTCTCTCTGTTGGGCGAAGAAAATAGATGGTTGAGTCTGTAACTGTAATGACCCGATCGGGCGTTTTGGACATTTATGCTCCTTTCTACTATTTGAAGTCTTGAATACCTTCATACGATGTATTATGACTTGTGTGAACTATCGGTTTTGGTTTTCAGGTATTTCAGAGTTAGTTTGAAAGAATGAAATCCAAGGCTTTAAAACTTAGGTTAAAATAGTGACCGGATGTCGACTTATATGTAAACGACCTCAAATAGAGTTTTAATGATTCCAATAGCTCCGTATGGTGATTTTGGACTTAGGAGCGTGTCTGAAAAATTATTTGGAAGCCCGTAGCTAAATTAGGCTTGAAATGACTAAAATAGAAATTTAAGTTTGGAAGTTTGATCGGGGAGTTGACTTTTTGATATCGGGGTCAGAATCCGATTCTGGAAATTGGAAAGGTCTGTTATGTCATTTATGACTTATGTACAAAATATGAGGTCAATCGGACTTGATTCGATAGGTTTCGGCATCGAATGTAGAAGTTAGAATTTCTAAGTTTCATTAAGCTTGAATTGGGGCATGATTCGTGATTTTAGCATTGTTTGATGTGATTTGAGGCTTCGACTAAGTTCGTATGATGTTTTAGGACTTGTTGGTATATTCCGTTGAGGTCCCGAGGAGCTCGAGTGAGTTTCGGGGTGGTTTCATACCATTTCTACGCTATTTTTAATTGTTGATTTCTGTCTACAGAGGTGTTCATCGCGATCGCAAACATTTGGTCGCATTCGCGAAGAGCAAACAGCAGTTTGGGACCTTGTGAATCGCGATCGCGGAAGCTCTTTCGCGATCGTGTAGAACAAAATCTGTGCTGCACTGATCCGACTTTAGAAGCTTATATCTCGTAATCTATAAAGAATTTAGAGATGATCCAAAAATAAAAGTTGTATACCTTGATGTCTAGTTTTCAGAAAGTCAAACCATTTGTCATTTGAAGTTTTGTACAAAACGTTATAACCATTAAACTAGAGGCTGTCTAGAAGAGTTAGGGAGTTTGTTCTTCGCGATCGCAAGTGGTTTTCTGCGATCGCGAAGGGCAAATTTTGGGCTGAAAATTTTTGTGCTTCACGATCGCGAAACATTTTCCGCGATCGCGAAGAGTAAATGCCTGGACAGAAGCTATATTTTGAGGTTTCGGCCATTTTAACACATTTGGAGCTATGGAGCTCGGATTGAAGCGATATTTGAGGCGATTTTCACTATACAGATTGGGGTAAGTGATTCTAACTCGGTTTTGGTTAG